ATAGATAGATAGTTTCACATGCTGTTGTTGCCATTGTTGGTAGGTGCCATTAACAGAATGAAACACGGCCCAGTCCTGCACCGTCCCTCTAATCGTTGCCCTTGTTTGAACCCACTATGGCAGGCACTGTGTCAGTCCATCTTGTAGAGGCTTCCTCTTTTTTTTTTTTTTTTGCTGACTGTCCACTTTATCTATCAAGCATGATGTCTCTTGTCCAGGGACTGATCTCTCCTGGTACCATCGCCAATGTACGTGAGGTGATGTGTCATCATTCTTGCTTTTAAGGAGCATCCTGCTGTAGTTGTTCCAAGATAGATTTGTGTGTTATTCTTTAATACATGGTACTTTCAACATTCTTCGTCAATGCAGTAATTTAAATCCGCTGATTCTTCTTCAGTTTAATCAATGACCAACTTGCGCATGCACAAGAGGTGATTGGAACGAGCCATGGTTTGGTGCAGGTGCAACTTTCTTCAGAGTGACATCCTTACTCTTTAAAGAGGCCTTGTGTAGATTTGCTCATTGCAATACTTCATCTACATAGTTGCATCTAATAAATGATACTGTGTTTTTCTGTGACTAATATCATTATTGATCCAATGTAAGCCTTTTCCTGGCAGGAACCCATCCTCCCACACTCATACTCTTCCTAAACTCAAATGCTCAGCCAGTTCCCAGTGTGTAGGTTCTCATGGGAAGGCCTCAACTTGGCTTCCAGGTCCCTGGCACCCTCTGGAACACCCAATGCCCAGGCAGTGTGCGCCGTGTAGCTAACTCAGACTGATCACCTGTCCCGGCCTGAGTCAGGCCTGGAGCACAGCAAAGACCCATTTCAGCATGCCTTATCCAGGCCAGCACCTCCAAACGTCTGCACTTGTGCACGTCTGTCTGTAAGAATCTTTTGGGTAATGCACTTACAAAGGATGTGCATGGACTACTGGTGGTGCTGATCTATAATATCTGTTCTCAATCCAAACCCAAAGCCATTCAGTTGAATCTGACTCAGAGCAACCTGTAGGACAGGGTAGAGCTTCTCCATTGGGTCTCTAAGGCTATAAATCTTTATGGGAGCAACCAGCCACATCCTTCTCACTTGGAGTGGCTGGTAGGTTTGAACTGCTGACCTTTCAGTTAGCTGCCCAACACTTAACCCACTGTGCCATGCCCACAAATTGACCCCTCTAGAAGGGCGTTTAAATATCTCCCCCTCTCCCTTGCACTGTGAGGGCCCTGCCATCAGGACCCCTCAGGGAGAGGGGGCAGTAAATCACACTGGGCTCTCATACGACACCCCAGGAATGAACAACCAGCCCCTGAAAACCCCTCTGGAGGCAGAGACGCCTTTGATTAGCAAAAGCAACAACAAAAATGAAAATAAAACAAAACAAACAAAAAAACCACCCCTAAGTTGCTTATTTGCTGTCTGAGGGTTTTGTAATTCAGACCCTGCCCGCTCTCTGGATGGGACACCGAGCTAGCACTGTCTGGGAATGTGTCAGAAATGCAGAAGCTCAGGTCTGACCCAGGTCGACTGAATTGGCATCTGAATTTTAACAAGATCCCCATTGCTCTCAAAGGCAGGTACATGTTTTCTATGAAGGACCAGGTAGTAAGTATCTGAGGCTCTGCAGACCTTTCACAGAGACAGCGGTGAATTCCATCACCGTAGCTAGAATACAGGCAGGGCAACACAGGCATGGGCGTGGCAGCGTGCCAATAAAACTTTATTCTCAGACAAACAGGTGATGGGCTGGTTTTGGCCTGGGGCTATCATTGAGCAATTTCTACTTGCCCTGCTCCAGTCCACTGCTGAGAAAGTGGATGATTTTTCCATTTAATAAGTTAACCTTTGCTCTCATTGGAGAGATTGTGGCAATCTCATTGTGAGAATACATGTTTTCTAGCTTCTTAAAGGCTGTATTTTTGCACGATGGTGTACACACACACACACACACACACACACACACACACACACTCAACACACTCTGCTCAGGGCAGCCTGAGAGCTCAGTGACTATTGATTGCTCGATCAGTGGATTGATCCATCCAAACATCCACCTGTGTGTCTATCCCTTTAACTTAAGAGTTTTAAAAAATGTTGTTTACTCACCAATACAACACATTCCCCTGTCTCCTCACCTCTGTCATAAAAGAGGCCATTGGGGTTAGTTCAATTAATTACTTTAATTCAGATACATGTTCAAATTCCAGACCTGCTGCTGAATGGTCAGACACTGATTAATTACTGCCTTGAAGGCTGTTTCCTCATCTGAAAAATAGGGACACATTGTTTGCACTAACCTCATACAAGCAAGTCTTTAATCATTGGTCCTGTTCAACTCTTTAACCATCAGACCCATTTAATCACTGAAAGGTTAGTGTTTTGAACTGACTAGCTGCTCCGTGCGTGGGAAGATGTCCCAGTCGGCTTCTGGATTACAGCCTTGGAAACCCCGTGGAGCAGTTTCACTCTGTCCTATAGGGTGGTCCTTATGAGTTTAATCATCTCAGCAGTGGCGGGTTCGCTTTTGGGTTTCTTACAAGTATTTGAAGCAATGCCTGTTATATAACAAGTGTACAGGATATGTTCATCATCAGGGAACTGTAGGGTATTCAAAAGTATTGTATCAGAAGGAATGAAATTGTAGAATAAAATAATCACCCGGAGGATAAGATCAGCCAAATTTGGGGGCAGTCTCTTTTCCAGGTATTAGTTTTCCCATCGTTGCGCTCATTCTTGCATTATTTTATATTGTTTAACATTTTAAAAAAAGCAAGTATCCCATTGGTGGTAGAAGATAAGCAAAGAATCCTCATTCCCTACAGTGACCCCCAACTTCCTGGGAATAAAATATCAAGACCCCAAAAAGCTGCTTGCAGCACCCTGGGACTTATCACAGCTGCAGAGGACCGGGTAGGGTCGGTAGGTTGTCATGTGCTGGGGATGTGGGCCAGAAGTCAGGGCTTCTCGGGTCCAGCCTGAGCTCAGAGCTGCGGCCAAGAGAAAAAGGAAAATGCCTTTGACCCAGGAGACAGAGGACTCATGCCTGCAGCTGGTACAGATAAGAGCTCGGAACACATGGAACCAGTAGTGGGAGTACTGATACCATGAAGGTAGGGGGAAGCGTGGGGGGGTGGGGGGGGGAAGAAAGGGGGAAATGATCACAAGGTTGGATATATATCCCTGAGGGAGATGAATAACAGAAATGTGGGTGAAGGGCGACAACAAGTGGTGTAAGATACAAAATAACAATAATAATATATAATTGATCAAGGATTCATGAGGGTGGGAGGGGGGACATAAAAAGAGGAGCTGGGACCAAGGGCTCAAGTGGAAAGAAAATGTTTTGGAAATGATGATGGCAACATATGTCTAAATTTGCTTAATACAATTGAATGATGGATTGTTATAAGACCTGTAAGAGCCCCCCAAAATGATAAAAAACAAAAGCATTCAACTGACCGTGGACTAAATATAACTAGAAAGTTTCAACTAGCAGAGATCAAAATAAACTATAGTACAATAATAATAACCACACCACCACTCCCTTCAACTTGGGTCCCCAACCCCATGGGGAGGTTTAGGTGGCCCGTGTATCTCCTTTGCCATCTCCTACTTAAGGGGGAGGAGGATGCTAATCAAGGAGTGAGAAGCCCACACAGAGTCTTGGACCTATGTTTCTATAGAAACGGAGTCATCCCATCACCTTCTAGCACCTCTCTCTTCTCTCCTGGCAAACGAACACTGGAGACATCTCCAGCGTCGGTCCTACCACGGTCCCCACTCCTCAACCAACAAACCCTGCCTGGGCACAGCCACCAAGGCCGGCGCCGAGTCCACGGGATAGCTCGGCGTCACCTCAGCAAACCTTCGTGTCAACCCGCACGGTTAGCCTGGATTCAGACGAGGCGGGCTTGGTTGGCCTCCTTCAGCAAATGTAGTCTTCTATGCAAATGCAGTTCTTCCTTCTCGACCACCCAGAGCAAGGTCCAAGTTCACACCTCGAAGAGCTCAGTCCTTCACACGACAGTGTCTGCCCAAGACCTAAGGCACCAGCTGCCTTAGGTTGGGTGGAACTTTCATGAGGCTCTTCCGTAGCCTGATGTGTCAGGTGTGAAGCTCCCCATCACCGATCTCCCGGGCTCCTCTGTGGGCGGTATGAGCACTCCCGCCTGTTAGTCTCTGTTTCTTCCCCTTCATCTGGGCAGGAGCTGAGACCGAGAGCATGGTGGAAGTGCTGTGCCGTGACTCACGTTGAGGTTGGGTGCTGCGGCACGGATTCTAACTCCTTGGGGGCCACACGTGAAAGCCTAGGGCTTCCAAGGCTGAGGACTCTTTGTGGGAGCAGATCAGGTCTGTGTCTCTTGTTGCTGCTTGGTGGGTTCAAACTGCCAACCTTCGGGTTAGCCGCTGAGTGCTTAACTGCGGAGCCACCGGGACTCCTTCTGAGGTGAGGCCACAGAAGGGTTATAGCTTTCCCTGGCAGTGCTTGCTTAACCTGGGGCGCTGCTACTATGCTATGAGAAGCCACAAGTAGCCCACATGGACAAACCCACCTGAGAGAGGTGGAGCCCCCAGGTGTCAGCCAGCCAGCATCAACCACCAGGTGTGGGAATGAATAAACCTTTGGGTGGTTCTCTCCCCAAGCTGGCATCTTCTGGCTGATGGCCAAGTGCATGGTTTATGCAAACCACACACATGCTGTACTTTTGCCACCAGCACTCACTCCCTTGCACGCTGTGTGTGGGCATGTGGTGGAAATACCATAGGAATCAGGAGCAGAGAAGCCGTTCTTCTCATGCCTGCCCGGAATTCCGGACCCACAAACTCTGTGAGAACAAGTGTTGTTGTCTGAGTCACTGGGTGGTTTGTTATGTGGGCGGAACACCCGCCCAGAGTCTGTAGTCCATATTCCATGAAGAAAAAAGTCACTCAGAGCATGTGACACAAATAAACATCCTTTAATTTCAATAAATAGCTCCCCTTCATACCAGACAATATGCTATGGAAAAAGATATGGGAGCATCCAACAGCGAGGGCTCTATCCCATCTACGAACGACAACTTTGGCGTGCATGTGCAAGCCTGCACACACACACACACACACACACACACACACACACACACACACACACACACTACCACTGTGGGTGGGGCCTCGGAGAGCCAGGAGGCCCTGTGCACAGACTTACTGGGTAGGAGAGGCTGAGCGGAGGGAGTGCAGTGTCGGGGTCCCAGCCCACCTCCTTGCTCACCGGGAGGACACACACGCGTTCATCTGTGAGGGTACACGCATGAGAACACATGCCCTGGAATAATGTCACACAAGGATTCAGTTAAGCTAAGAGTTGTCCTACCTTGGGATGGTTTGTGTTGTCATTTGGTTTCTTCAAATCACCATCTAATCTATTTACCACGTCCACTAAAGAGAAGATGAACATACCTCTGCCTTTGGGGAAGGACCGGGTTGAAGACACCCCCCCCCCCGCCCCCAGGGAGGCAGCCTGCGGGGGGTCAGGGCTCCCCGCACTGGCCAAGCTCTCGGTCAATGAGTCTTGAAGGAGGGGGGCACCCTTTGGGAGGCTCTTTCCCGGGCCTAAGGGTTGAAAGTGCCTAAGGGGGCAGATGTCAAAGGGTGCCAACAAGAGCAGGCACTGCCAGTCAGTCAGTCCCATAGCAGAAACCCACTCAACTGGGACACATGGATGGAGGGCTTGCTGCAAAGTTCTCAGGCCTCCCTCGCTGAGGGGGGCCGTGTTGGGATCAGCAGTCCGTTTTCCTCTCCGTTCTGGGAGGACTAGGTGTGTGTGTGTGTTTGCAGGGGTAGCCGTTAGAGTGTGTATGCGGATGTTGATGTGATAGGTAGGTGACATGTTAGGTCTTAGACTTTCTTCTCTCTCTCTCTTGTTTTATTTTACACGTGACAGCTGCCTTCCCGGCAGCCTCAGGTCACCTCCAGTGAGGCAGGAGACACGCGGTCACACTCGGCCCGGGACCTCAGGCTGTGCCACTGCCCCACGGCCGTGCGGTGGGTGTTGAGCATCCGCCGCCAGTGGTTGGATTCGGAGGGACCGGAAGAGTACTGGCCGATGACAATCCTGCCGATGAAGTCGTTGCTGCTCTTCATGTTGTGGCCGAACACTGGGGAGGAGCCAGAGGGAGGAGGGAGGAGGGAGACAGACATGGGGTAGGGACAAGACAGAAGCCATTAGTCTGTGCAAGGGTATTTGAGGTCTTTAAACAGGGGAAGTGTCTCCCCCCACCCCTCCTAGGGTTTCCTCCTGGCCTCTCCTTGTTCACACACACTGGGCACATGCCTGCCTCATAGTCTGGGTACCAGCTGTTCTTTCTGCAGTTACCTGCACCGACTGTGGCATATACCTTTCAACCTGCGCCTCACTGCCTCGCCACTGTTGACACCCTTGCGAGTGCCTGCCCTGGGTCGGCAGCAGACTGGTGGCGACCCCAAGTGCAGAGGCATGGAATGCTTGCTGCCCGGTCATGAGCCACGCCCGAGGGGTTGCTGCAGGAACCATCGTTGCTCACTGGCTGAGTGTGTTGGAAGTAGACCACCAGGCCTGCTTCCTGTCCATCTTAGGCTGGCTACACTGCAGTAGCCTGGTCGGCATCCGGACAACACTCTGCCTACACAGACAGACTGCGCCCTGAGCAGTGGCCGGGGAGGATCCTGGTACTGACCCGCTTCTGCGCACTCCCACCGGTGACCTCAGGGACCATCACTGGCGTCCAGTTGAGTCGTTACTCCGGGGCTTCTCAACAGGACGCTGCTGACACACAGGGGGGCCTGGGTGATTCCGCGGTGGGGCTGTCCTCTGCACTGCACAGTGTCCGCTAGCACCCCTGACCTCCACTCACCTGTCCATGCCAGTAGCATGCTACCCTACCTCGGTCGTGACGACCGGGAGATGTCTGCATCTCCTCCGGGGCCAATCTGTGCCGGTGGCAAACCAATGGGCTACGTGTACGCTCTGGGACAGACTGCCTGCTTTGAATCCTGGCTCTGCCTTCTGAGGAGCCCCAGGGCCCCGTGGAGGGAGCCTCCTCGGCTTGACTCTGAGCTTCCGGCCAGGAAACGTGCCTACAGGTCGTGGTGCGCAGCAAGGGCTCCAGAGGAGCCCCTCTGCCATTTGTAGCCTGATTTTCTGTCTGCCGACCTTTTTATACCCTTTTACACACGACAGAGGCAACGACCCCCAGCGCCATCTCTTCCCTCCTTGTTGTGATGCATTTGTCTCGGGAAGGCTTCCCCATTAATTCCAACACAAGCTTAATTTGTGCCTTAGGAAACTAATGAGATGGTTAGCTTGGCTCCTGCTCGCAGCCAAGTCCCGCCAAATGTTTTATCTGTGTGTGGGCAGTGCAGGGGTGCCGTCTCGCTGACGGGGACGCAGGCTGTGCCTGGGAGCTACATGAAGGGAGAGATCACCAATCTGCGCAGCGTGAGCCCCACGAAGGCAGGCTTGATCCCAGGAGGGGTCCCGATGAGCAAATAAACCAGCTAAGACAGGCGGCCAGCAACAGAGCTCGAGGCTGGTGAGCGCGCCCCTCTGCTCTGCCCTGTGGGCACATCGAGAATTCCCGAGGATGGAAATGGGGCCGAGGGTGGGGGAGAAGATTGGAAAAAGCAAGGACCCTATAGCTCCTCTTTAAAAGCCAAACATTAAAAAAAAAAAAGCCAAACAAGACACAGGGTGGTTGGTGCTGGGTGGGACGCTGCGGATCTACATCAAGAGTACCTGCCAGCTCTGGGCGGACCCAAATGGGACGGTGCGTATTTCGTGTAGGTGTGGTAAAGGGCTTAGGGCGCCCGGATGACAACCACCACCAAACACGGTGGCTGTTGCGGGGACCGACCCATGGCGACGTGCCTGTGTCAGACGGAGCACAACTGACCCACTGGGTTTCTGAGGATGACTGTCTCAGAGGTCGATGGACAGGCCTTGTTTTCGGAGTTGGTGCAAACCTCCCAGGTGGCAAGGAAGCACAACAACAAGACAAAACAGAGCAACATAGCCCACCACCATCCACTCTGCTCTGACTCACAGCGTCCCTACAGGGCAGAGTAGAACTTGTCCAGGGGGATCCGGAGTAGAAAGCCTCACCTTTTCTCCTGCGGGGCTGCTGGCAGTGGTTTCGAACCACGGGGACAGCTCACCCTGTCACCCACTACGCCACCCGGGCTCCTCAGCTAAGCACGAGGTGTAACCACTAGGCCAAACCCAGGTATTCTCCTGAGACCTTCCCAGGTACCATTCAGCTTCATTCTCCTTAAGCAAAATGCTCTTGTCTCCTTCGGCCTCTCCAAAGCTCAAGCAGGAAGATGCCGAAACCTCTCTAGCCACCGGGTGGTCTTTTTCCCTTGAGAAAGGGGTAGCGGAATAGGAGGTCTCAAACCATCGTGCACTCACGATTGGTGGGAGAAGTGGGCTCACAGAATCTGATCCAAAGAAAAAGGCTCAGACCTTGGGATGCAGCAATTAGACTTCTAGAAAATGCCCTCCCCTCCCCCATGCCATAGAAAGCTCTGCCCACCTGGGCCATGATACACCTACAAACACAATCTCTGTAAGAGAGTGGCACACTATGCCCTGCTGGCCAAGCCTGGCCTTTCACTTGTGTCTAGAAGTCAAGTTTTATCGGAATACAGCCACACACAATTGTCCGCACGTGTGAAGGCTGTGTTCACATTGTCAGGGCAGAGCCGAGTCACTGCCGATGCAGCCTCAGGGCCTTAAACATTTCCTACACTTGGCAAGCCCGCCGGGCAAGCCGGGCTCTGTACCACACTACGACCAGAACACTGGAAAGGACAGCAGCAGCAGCAGGGGCGTGAGCAGGTGCGGCCGAGGCAGTAGGGGTGTGATCCACCCCAAGACTCCCTACAGCCTCTGGGGCTGGTTCTCTCACACCCAGACGGGGTCAGTGGTCCTCCCTGGAGCACCTGCAGCGCTCCGTCTCAGCATCCTCTGGCCCTGGGCACAAGCAGGACAAGTTCTACATCTAGAGGTGGTGACACTCCCAGGAACCACTCTTAACCAGCAAGTGACGGGAGGAGGTGAAGCAGGGAGCTCCCTTGGCCTGCGGGAGCCTAACCAGACAGCGGGGCGCTTGCTCAGTGGCAGCCCCTGCTTGGCTTGCCCCCTTCTCCTCTCCCTCATGTGCTTACTGCAGCCACTTCCCTAGTGACCTTCTTGTACCCACGCTGTCACCTCAGGATCAGCCGTGGGGGGCGTCAGAACTGAGGGGCCAGGCCAAAGAACTTCTGATGTGATTATACAGGGGGACTCCTCCCTGCAGTTGTGCCAGCCTGGTGTGTGCCACGCACGTGTCAGAATAGGATGGCGGGCTCCAGAGGGTTTTCGGGGGCCGATTGCTTGGAAGTGGATTGCCAGGCCTTTCTTCCCAGGGACGGGTTGGTGGGCTTGAACCCCCAATCTTTCTGTTTGCAGCAGCTGAGTGCATGAACCAAGGACTCTAAAAGCAACGCGTCAAATGGCGCTAGGTTACTAAAGAGCCAACTGCGAGAGAATATGCGTGAGCCCAATCCTCCTTTGTTAAGGGAAAAAATAAACACGGAGAAAGGTATCTAGAAGGACAGTCCCCGCTCTCAGGGTGTGTGTGTGTGTCAGGAAACAGTAGGACGCAAGTACAGATCCTTTTAATTTCTTTCAAGTACATGCACTATTTCAAAAGGAGAAAAAAAAAGCAAAACGTTGGTATTGGAAAATCCACATCGACGGAGAGGAACACTGACAGGAACTGTAATATCCTATGCCCCTGAGGCCAATATGCACAGTCACGTGGCTGCTGACTCCCTGGCCCGCAGAGGTGGGAAGGCTGACAGGAGCCGGCCTTTCTGAGGGCAAGCACTTGCTGCTAGGGCCATCTGGGTTAATGGGCAGGCTCTGGCACATGCAAATAAGTGGTTAAGTTATGGTCATCCTAACAGTCTGTTAAAAATGAAAAGATTGAAAATGCAAATTCTAATAAGCTCTAGTTGATTACCAGTAGTGACTTCCGTGACAAGAGTAGCCCTGGAGAGTATCAGGATTTGCCATCGCGGTAAATTCTAGGGAGTGTGTTATTAGAGAGAACATAGCAAATTACGGCTGGGTCTGTGTAGACTCCACAAAGGGGCTAGGAGATGATGGGCCCTGATTGGCCCTGTCCCCTCCCATTTATAGATAAGGAAACCCAGACACGCAGCTAGTTGGCGATAAAAGCAGCAGCACTGCCACCAATAATCTGCAAAGGATGCCAAACAGTCACAGCTGTTTCTAAACAGCTAGAAATGTTGTCTACGGCACTCCTGGGTGGTCCTGACGCTAAGTTAGGAGGAACGGATTTAACACAGTCACGTATCACTAGCCTACCAAGGTAAGTCAAAAGCTGTTACCACAAAGCCATAGACATCTTTTCTAAACGAAAATATCACAGTGTAAGACTACTGGTTCGGGCACTTCTTCCGCCCAGGTCTATGCACTTTGGAAAACGATGTTGCCCTCTGCCCAACCCTTCCTGGAAGGGTTCACCCTTAGAGTCACACCACGTCTAGCACACCAGTTTGGGCTTCCTCGAGAGACCCGAACAATAGTCACCTTAACTGCTCTTTGAATCTGGGGAACAAAAGAATTCTGAAGGAGCAAGGCCAGGGCTGGAGGGGGGACAGGTCCCAATGCAATTCTCAAACGACAACCCTTGAAGAATGAGCAGGTGCATCGTTCTCCTCAGCCTCACTGTCCGCAAGTTGATGCCGACCTAGAGGTCAGGGTAGTTTCCGAGACTCCAGCTCTTTATAGGAGTAGAAAGCCTGTCTATCCCTGGAGGATTGGCTTGTGGTTTCAAACTGCTGACCTTGCAGTTAGTAGCCTGCCTCGGAACCACTAAAAGAATTTCTGGGTGGAATTTTCCTGGTCTTTTTCACACCAAAGCAGTTTCCGTTTTCTGAAAACTTCTCCATATGAGGGTTCTCCAAAAAGTTTTGGGTAAAATGGAGCGAAAAGATAATGGGGAAAAAATAATGGAATTTTGACACAGAATTTTGAAGC